AGCTTCAGGCGCCAGCAAAACTGTCGGCTCCACAACGCCGACCATCGAGCACGACGCCTCCTTGTCGCCTCGACCCTTGCCGCCGGAGGAGTCGACGTCCTTTGTCGACGACGCCTTCTTCAACGCGTGCTTCTCCTTGCGCGGCTTCTCATCTCGATGGGGGCGAACACCACCTCCACGACCCATGTCCCGCGTCGACTTCGTCTGGTCGACGTCCTTCGTCGACCTCCCACCTCCGCCCGGCTTCCCGCGTTGCTCCTGTTGACGATTCTGCTTTGTCGGGGCGGCATAGTTCGCCTGCGAAAGGAGCTCCGTGGGGCGTTATGCCTCCTGCATCGCCTCATCCTTGATGATGTGGCTGGTGAGAGTGTCCTCGTCGAGCGACTCCCGCATGCCGAGCATCACCATCATCCGGCACATGAGGTTGTAGCCGCCCGGCAAGCCCTTGACGACGTGCGTTATGTAGGACGCCGTCGAGTAGTCGACGCCTGCCATCCGCATGTCGGCGAGGACCCGTCGAGCACGGTTGCAGTAGTCCGTCGCCGACTCCTGCTCGGCCATCCTGAGGTGAGTCAGCTGCTCCTCCAGCTGGCCGATGTATAGGTCGTCCGTCGCCTGGTAAGTCGACAAGATGAACGGCCACGCTTTGTGGCATGCGTCCAGTCGAAGTCGACACGGCTTCAGTGCTATCTGCACCATCGGCGAGCATCACCTCTAGATGACCATGAAGGTCAGCAGGTGAGCGGAACGAAATTCCTCCCCGCAGCTCGACTTCTTCTGCGTCCGGTATCGGCACGTCGCCGTCGGCGAAAACCCTTCAGCCCCGCGATCTCCAGTTGAGGCTCGATCGACTACCTCCACGTAACGACGTCCTGTCGACCTTGCAGTGGTGCAGGCACGGCGATCTTGTCCCGCAAAAACTTGAAGTAGCCATACGCCGGAGCGATCCCGCCCGCCGTCACATGTGTCGTCGACGTGGGCCTCCCACTGCTTCGCTGAGGGGAACGACGTCGACCGTCGACATCAACGCGCGAGCTGCCTGCGGCCGCCGTCGACTGCTGCACTCGCGTTGGCTCCCGCTGATGCCACCGTCGGCCCTGATCACATCTCTCTTCTTTGTGCCCTCGCTGCCGTCGACATGTTCATCACCGTCGACCTCCTCGTCGACACCGCCTTCGTTTCGCATGGGTCGAGGAGAAGCAGGTCGGGAAGGGTGTTGCGTCGCCCACTGCATACGGATTTTCCAGGAGGATCACCTCCAAGGGGAACGTCCCGAACTCACCACCCGTGTGGAGTCTCCTTGCGTCAGCCAAATGTGCCTCTAACATGTCCTCTACCACCGCGGGGTCTCCCGTGGTTGTCGACATGGTTTGCACAGGCTGCCGGCCTACGAACGACTTAGGTAAGTGAAGAATCGGCTACTAATTTAAAGGTTTTTTCGGGGTCGTCCACGCTCACCGCACCATGCGAAGATTCACTGTACAATGGTGGGAGCTAGACTACGGGGTTGGCACGAGTTGTGTGAGTGTGATCCATGCTCTGCATGCATTCCTCAGCACTTGCACATTCACGGGAAGAATTGGCAAGAGTTCCACTAGCAAAGTTGGGATTACAGAATTGATTGAACAAGCAGTGGGAAAGTGACTACATCAAGGCCTAGCAACATAGCAGCCAGGCAAGTCGACCGCCAGCACAGCAAGGTCGACAGCCTGCCAGCGTTGCGTAGAGGAACCGTGCCAGCGCTGCCGAATGACGGCCTGTCAACAGAGCAGGTCGACGGCGTGCCAACGCTGCAGCAAGGCGGTTGTCAAGCGTTGCACTTGCGGATGACAGCAGTGCACACGCGCGCACCTACTTCGCAAGTGCGCGCAGACAATTGGCCCGATGTGCGCCGTCACGTGTCCATCAGCTGTTGTCTGCGCCTGACCAGCCACATCGACCTCGGGAAACCAGCCCGAGGTCGCCATAGCCATCGCAGCCTCGACGACGTTCGCGTGCTCCAGCAGAACCTCGCCGAGGGGGTAACCTAGTCGACAGGGTCGACCACCAGCGCCGTGGTCGACGACCTCCCTCGTCGACCAGCACTCCGTCGAGGACCACCCTGGTCGGCAGACCCCTCCGTCGACCACCTGGTCAGTTGCTGCTGATGAGCTCCACCTTCGACGGCTCCACGACAGACCCGCGCAGGTCGACGACCACCTTTGTCGACCACCCAAGGCAGGTCGACGAACCCCTTCGTCAATCACGGCAGACGAACTCTGTCGCCGCCTTCCCGTCATCGCCGGCTTCGCAGCAGTCTTCTGCAGGTCGACCAACTTTGTCGACCTGCTCGCGTCGACCTCCGCAGATGGTCGGCCGCAACTCCCGCGCACCTGACCACAAAGTCGGCTCCGCCCAAGCGAGGACGGGGCAAACACCCAACTCCCGTTGACAGGCGGTACCAGTGCGCCTGGTGGAGGCAGCACTGGACGTGATACTGGGCATGTGGGCTTAGCGGGAGGAGGAGCTGGCCTTGGCGGTGGGGAGGGAGCGCAGCAGCAGCCACAGCAGGGACAGCAGTCGCAGCAGCAGGTGCAGCGGCAGGTGCAGTAGCAGGTGCAGCGGCAGGTGCAGCAGCAGTTCCGGCAGTAGGGTCCTCCGCAGCAGCGGGGCCCTCCACAGCAGTGGGACCCTCCGCAACAATGGGGACTTGGTGGTTTGGGGAACGCTGGCCACAGCACCGCCCCCACCAGCTGGGGGCCTCGTCCTACTGGCCGCGACGTTGAACCCTGCCACTACTGGATCCAGACGGGTCTGGGTAGCGGCGCGTATCACGAGCCCCCCGACCACTCTGCAACGCACTGCTTCCGGCGCCTCAACGACCTCTACCGTCATTGACACAGCTCTGAGGCACTCACATCGCACTGGGCGACGCTGCTCCCGTCGCGTGCCGGTGTTTGATCTGAACATGGATGTAACTCGTGCTTATGTCTTGTATGCTGATGTTGACTATTGTGCCTGTTTGCTCCCGTGTTCCTAGTATAGGATCCTTGCTCATTGGTGGTGTAGGTGCTTGTGTTTTTAATGTAGGTGCTTGTGTGTTTACTAAACCAGGTGTACTCACGGCTAATGCGTCGCTGTCCTTCGCGCTTGACTCTGGCGCGTCTCGGTGCTGCTTCCGCGACCACACCACTGTCACACCTCTTCCTGCTCCAGTCTTAGTTGCCTGGCTGATCCTACTTCAGGACCAGCAGTCGCTCGCAGCTCTACCACCCTCCCGTGCGCGACAATCTTCTCTGGTTCCCTCACTGGTCTCCACATCTTCTCATTCTCCAGGAACTCGGTGGGTGTTGGACACCTTCAGGATCGTGGGGTCACAGTTACTTTCCCTGCACACGAGAGGGTTGCAGCCCGTACGGACGCTGCTACAGAGTCACGTCTGGCCAAGTTTTTCTGGGGACCCCGCTCAGGTCTCTTCACACTGCATACTGCGTTCCCCTAGGCAGCTGGGTTTGGTCAGGTTGCTGCATCGTGCTCGTGTCGGGCGCTCACCCACCCGACAGTCCTATGGCACCACCGTCTTAGTCACCCTTCACTCCCACGCCTCCGTCACGTGTCTAGCCACCGCCTTATCTCAGGTCTCTCGTTCGTGTTTCATTCGCTCCCTCCTTGGCCTACGCCGCCGTGTACTCCTTGCGTCGAGGGTAGGCTGCGGGCCACCCCTCACTCCTCCTCCCTTGCGCTAGCCATGGAGCCCCTCCAACCTCTACACACGGACGTCTGGGGACTCTCCCCAGTCACTGGGCCGGGCGGGGAGAGCTTCGTCTTGGTGGCGGTTGATGACTACACCCGCTACACCACGGTGTTCCCCCCTGCGGCAGAAGTCCGACGTGACTTCTACCCTGACCGTTGCTGGCCAATAGTGCCCAGGGTGGTAGTCGTGTGCTCTCCACTCCGACCGCGGGGGTGAGTTTCGCTCCGGCATGCTTGGCGGGTTGTGTCGCGAGTAGGGCATTACCCAGTCTTGGACGCTTCCAGAGTCACCACAACAGAATGGGGTTGCTGAGCGCCGCATAAGTTTGGTCATGGAGATCGCCCGCACCTCGATGGTCCATGCCCGTGCACCTCATTTTCTGTGGCCCTACGCGGTTCGCTACGCCGCCCATCAGCTGAACCTCTGGCCGGGTGTCTCTCGGCCGGAGGTTTCACCGACCTGTCTTTGGACTGGGTCCCTTGGTGTTGCGTCGGAGTTTCGTGTCTGGGGCTGCCTTGCACATGTCTGCGATACCTCTGCGGACAAGCTCTCGGCTCGCACCCTCCCCTGTGTCTTCTTTGATTTCCCGATCAACGCCCCTGACTTTGTCTTTTACCACCCACCTCTCCACTGGTTCTTCAATTCCCGTAACGTCTCCTCTGACAAGTCCGTGTCCTTTACACTCGCTATCCCCACCGATGTCTCCCGGTTCCCCCCCCTCCCCTTTTCCTTGCCACGACTCCTCCTGTCCAGCTCCTCCGGTAATCCCACCCCACCCATGTCCTGCACCGTTAGGTATGTCTCACACTACCCCTCCTCCCTTGGTAGCACGTCAGGTTTCGTCCCCCTCACCACACTCGTCCTGACAGTCACCACGGCAGGCTTTGGTACTAGCGCTGGAGGTGCTGGTGCTGGAGGTGCTGGTTCTTGGGGTGTTGGAGCTGGAGGCGCTGGCTCTATGGTGCCTGCTCCGCCTGCCATTCGTTACCTGACGTGTCTCTAGCAGTTGGAGCGGCAGGAGAAGGAGCGGCTGGAGAAGGAGCAGGAGCAGGAGCAGCAGCATCATCATCAACAGCAGTAGAGAACTGTTTAGTGGGGGTTTTTACAGTGGTATGAGAAATCTGTATATCTCCCATTTAAAAGATAAATAAGACACCTTTTTTGTTCCAGTTATAAGCCACACATCCATTTTACCAGTCAGTACCGAATATGACATATAGGTATGTCTACTGTCTGGGGGATGACGGTATTACTTTTGAATGCTGCTTCAGATGCTGCAACGATTGTTGCTTTGAATTATACCTGAGTGCTCCCCGTTGGACTCTTCATCCATGCTCTTAATATCTTGAAGCATTGCAGCCAAGTTATAGGGGTACGACGTCCCACTTCGAATATCCTGTGCTTGCGCATCCACCTTGACCGCTGCACTCAGCTCCTCCTTCCCCACCACCTCATCCCTGATCCCCTGCAGCTCGTTGGCAATGTCTGCCATGCTGGGCCGGTTTGCAGTGCGCTGCACAGTGCAGTGCAGAGCCAGCTGGGCCAGGCACAGCACAGCATCATCCGGGGCGTCCATGCTCACGTCCTTGAGGGGGGCAAGATTTCCAGAGGAAATGCACCCCTCCAACTGATAGAAGGAGGTGAAGAAGGCGGGATAAGGAGGATAAGGAGAATATTGGGGAAGGAAATGGTTCATTAGGAGGAGAAGAGAATGGGTGTTAAAAAGGTGAGGCTGGGCCGTCCATGATCTGGTCCTTGAGGGGTGCTGGATTGTTGTCAAAGGAGCTGCACCCCTCCACCTGAAAGAAGTAGGTGGAGGTGGGTGTGGGGAGAAGACTGAGGAAGGGAACGGGTAAAAACGAGGAGAAGAGGGTGCGTGTGAAAAAAGTGGCAGTGAAAAGAGCATCATCTGGGCGTCCATGCTGACGTCCTTGAGGCTGGCTGGGTTTTTGAGAGAAATGCCGGATTAAATAGAATTCAACTTAGCATCATCTTCCACCTGCAGGATTGAATTTAACGATTTGTTAGACGACAGGAGGGTAAATGAGGCATGCCGGCCTGACTGACTGAACAGTTGTGCATGATGGAGAGGGTTATTCTTGATAGCCCGAGCACAGCTGTGCAATCGTGCCATTGTGCCTTTCTGAAGGCAGCAACAACTGTGCACCACGGGAACTATTCGTTGCATGCCCTTCACAAAGCAGAAACACGTACCCATCGCCGCATGCGCTGCTTCTTCCACTTCTGGTGGTGTAATCCACATTTGACTTTAAACTATGATGGCAACTTGGAAGTCACTTTGTGTGCCCCCCACCATCCGCTTACCACCATGAAATGAAACCTACCCAGTGCAGAGTGCGGCCATTTGTCTCACCACACATTGGCAAAGCGGTGCTGGAACTAATGCATGAACAACCACAGGGAAAACTCACATGGAAGGAACACAGCAGCAGCACGAAAGCAGCAGCACCTACCCATCGCAAAATGTGGCCGTTCTTTTCACCCTCAGAAGGACGAGGGCTGCGACCGGTGATCACCACAAGCATGAGCACACCGAAGCTGCACATATGGACAAGGGCAAAGGGATGACAGCAGCATACAAGAATGCCAGATTGTGTGTGCTTCACACTGAATGTGCACACGCAAGCAGCATTGGGATGAGAAACACTCGGTGAGCACCACGAGCATGAGCACACCGAAGGTGCACACACATAGATAGAGGGGAGAGAAGGATGCCATCGAGGGAGGAAATCATAGCATCAGGGGCGGTGATTTGCACAGTCCTTCAATTGTGTGGAGAAGGACAGGGAGGGATGGACGCTCTCAAGTGAGGTGCTCTTTACAGTTTCCAGCATTTGCAAAGAGTGGCTGCCTGCAGCCGTGAGGCCCACAAGAATGACAGGGACGTAATGCCGGCTGATGGTTGTCTCACAGAGGGATCTTTGAGAAACTGCCACGTATGGAACTAAGAAACTTCTTGACGCACTTGGGTATCAACTGCCAGTCTGATCGCAGTGGTTGGATGAGCCTTGAGTGTAACGTGAAAATCCTCCTCCATAGTCCTATTTCACCCAAGGACAGCAATAGCTGACCTATAGACATCGATGGTGGTGGTGGCCTTTCACCTGTACACATCGGTGGCAGTGGTTGCATTGGACTGTCTGTGAGGCGCCTCATAAACAGCTCACCTGTACACATCGGTGGCAGTGGTGGCCTTTCACCTGTACACATCGATGGCAGTGGTGGCCTTGGACGTGCGTGAGTAGATGGGATCCACATAGCCCGGTGTTCCCATCACCCGAGTCGTGCCCACAGTGGTGCCTTCGCCCACCCTCAACAGCCCAAATTCAGCGATCTTGGCCTGTCAGATGGCACATTGATGAGAAAAGGACAAGCGTGATGGATAATGGATTTGACAATGACTTGTTTATTTGGGGTGCTAGTATGATTGGTGGGCGAAAAGGGGTTACATGTAGAGAGGCTTAAGGGTTTTGGGTGTGTTCACACGTGTAACAAGCACGCCCTTTTAGGACACAGTGGTGACTTCTGTGCAGATAGAACCATTAATGCAAAAACCAGCAGCTCCCTTTGGCTCTTGCTCTTTACAGATTCTCATATGCTCCTCTGCAATTGTCTTCATGGAATGTCAGATTCCAACAGACTCTTTGGTTCAACTATGGCTGTGGTATCGACCAAAGATTCATTTCCCACTGCACTCAACACATATTCTTATGTGCATACTCTTAGTGTGTTTGCAGATTGCTTGCTTGCCTGCATGTTTGTCCCGAGAAGGATGTTGGCGGGTTTGATGTCGCGATGCACAAGGCCAAGCTGTGGAGGTACTCAAAGCCACGTGCCGCACCAATGAGGATGTCTAGCCGCTGCTGGAAGGTAAGAGTGAAGGACGCCTCTGCACATGCACATAACACATGAGAGCGACAGAACATGACAGGTGAGAGTGACAGACCATGAGTGACAGTACATGATTCATACGACATCAGTGACAAAACTGATGGGTGACACAATGAGTGACACAAGAAAGATATGGTCCCAAATGTATGTCCCAAAAAAACTGCTACGTACCCTTCTTAATAAACTGGTCAAGGTCACCGTTGGAAACAAACTCGTAAATCAAGATCTGCTCTGGCCGTGTCCTCGTATCACCCCCAATAGCAAACCCAAGCAGCCGCACGATGTTGGGATGGTTCTTGTCGCCCATTTGTTGGACCTGCAAGGAAAAAGGCAGGAACAGTCAAACTTCTTTAGCTTACTTCTGAATTTCTTGCGGGTGGCCAGTCTGATTTATTTTTTTCAGACAGAATAAGAAACAAGCGTCAACGAAATTGATTTCACATGGCAGACTGGAATATAAGGGGCATGCCATGGCTAAATGCATCAAGAAGCGTAGCCAACGTGATCATTTTCTCGACTCATAGCACCTCGCTTCGTAGCCAAAGTGGAAAAGGAAGGCCCATTCATCGAACATCATCAATCCAACATACAAGGCCGTGCAGGCAGTCGAGATTCTGGAAAATTGTACCCGAGGGGACTTGACCAGGCCCGACCCCGAACCCGTCCGACCCGGCCAAAGCAGGTGATCGAAATGGAACGAAATAGGCCCTTTCAACGATCATCATCACTTCATCATAGCACCCCTCTTCTAATCCACATTTCTCATAGTCACTCGCACTTTTGAAATCTCTCAGAAGTGACCAACTGTGAGTCAGTCCCACCTCTTTGTAAAAGTCCACGTCAATCAGCTTGGCTCGCTTCACGGTCCACAGGGTTTAGGGCCATCATCTGGGCATACGCCCTTGTACACGTCACCAAAGGCACCCGAGCCAAGCTGGTTGCCAGAGGACCAGTTGTTGGTGGCTTTAAGGACTTCTTCAAGAGAGTACTCTGTGCATTTAGCGCCCGGCATGCTGCGAGCTCGGCCTGTAATAGTGACAAGTGACACATATTCCTCGATCAAGAGAGGAGGGCGAAAAAGGAGGCAGACGAATGGATGACGAATGGAGATGTCTCAAAATTCACGCGGCAGGAGGAGGGGGCGCAGTGGAGGAACAAAAAGAGACGTTTTTTCTCTCTGTGAAGAGACTTCCAGGACCTTTTTACTGACTAGAGTTGTATACGGTTCAAATTTACGTTTCAAGATTAGGTTTTAAGGTTTTAGGGATTGCGGATGGATGCTGTACTTGCTGCACTTGCTGCTCGTCTCTTGTGGCCTCTCCGCCACCACCACAGCAGCACGCCAATGATCAGCAGCATCACAGCAGCCACAGCAATGCCGGCAATGGCTCCTACAGAAAGACCGCCTCCAGACTGAGAAGGAGAGGCTTCGGGTGAGATGGGGGTTGTTGAGGAGGAGGAGGATGGGGGCGTTGTGGGGAAAGGTGCAGGCTGGGAGGGGGGTGCTCGAGGCGGGGAAGGGGGGGCTGTAGCATGTGAGAGATGGATGGGGATGAGACGGAAAGGGATGGAAAGATGAAGACGCAATGCGTTCTCAAGGAAAGTGTGAGATGGAGCAAAATAGTGAGGATGGAATGGAAAGCACGGCAGAGATGTGGCACGATGTTGTGTTGGTATGCCGGCTTGTTGCACAGGGAGGAAGATGGGCAGGGAAACCATTGTCACTGAATGGCACATGCACGAACGTTGATGTTTGGATGGGAAGTAAGAGAGATAGGAACTTCAATCTTATATCTTTTTGTACTCGTTTTTAAGCTCACGTGGGGCTGTCTTGACGCAGGTGGAGCAGAAGGAGCTGCACTTGCTGCAAAACGCGCTACTAGAAATCTGCGTAACCACACACCATGTCTTGTTATGCGGGCATCTGACTGTGGTTCCATTCAGAAACCTGCACGTGGAGAAGGAAGAGAGAATATCAAAACCAGGAGCATGAAAGCTATAGCAAAATGGTTGGTGCTGGGTATTCGACACACACGCCAGCAAAGTTCCATGTGTGTGGGCGCTCCCTAGAATAGCGAGCAGATGGGTTCTGTATGCTTGGTGTGTGTGTGACACTTCAGGCTACCAAGAACAAAGCCTTTTACTATTCAAAATCAACATTATTGTAGATACTGATGTATCTTACAGTTCCGAGAGTGTGTGAAGTTTGCCCAGTGTTGGAGGGAGCTGTCCTGTCAAATTGGTTCCTTCAAGTTCTCTGCACGTGGATCATTGTTTGTTGCACGTAGAGGTAGACCATCGTTGAGCACATAGACCCAGAGCACAGTTGGGCATTCATTTGTTAAAAAATACAGATATTTGTATAAGGAACTTCATTGTCCCGAATAGACATGGTCCATTCTTTCTTTTTTATGTTCTTGAAATCCAAGTAATGGGTTTAGGTATATGAAATCAGATGGAGGGAAGTGGTGAATCAGGTCTTCATCTTCAACCTTGTTGAAATTCAAGACCAGCGTAGGGTTGAGAAACGAGCAGACAAGACCCGACCAAAACCGACCCGACTGGGGTTGACCCGGGGTGTATTCGGGGGATGGGTCGGGTCGGGCACGGCTCAAGAGACAATGGGCGTTCTTTCAGCTCAAGAAACAATGGGTGTGCTTACAAGGTTGTGAGCTGCAGGAGGTTGCCAATGGACTCTGGGATGCTGCCAGCCAGGTTGTTCCAAGAAAGGTACCTGATGCAAGGGTGGCAGCAGCAGGAATATGATTCCCATAACAATCAACATGATCATTTGATTCATAGTTCATGTGACCATTCAGTAATAGAAACAAGACAGGCAATACATGTGTTTTAAGAAACTTGTGTGTTATGTGATGTGAGCCACATTTTCAAATCAACGACAAAGGCACTCACAGCTGAGAAAGACTTAGGAGGTTGCCAAGAGAGCTAGGAATGATGCCTGTCAACCTGTTGTGCCCAAGGTTCCTGGTGGGACCGAGAGATACGAGACGAGGCATGGATGTAAGGCATTCGTAAGGCAGGTATGCTCATGGAGTGAAAAACAGAAGAACGGTGACACAATGCTGTTTTCCATGACTGCTCATGGTCGCTCTCTCAATTGGAAGGACAAGGGCTTGTGTCGCATTGCATAGCATCATGTCGCATCGGATAGCATCCCAACACACCAAATCACATCACATGGCAGTCTACAGTCGAGCGAAAACAATTAGGACGGTCCAGGTAGACAACAATAAATGTGTGGAATGGAATGAGTGGCTACCATATGAGCTTATGAAAATGTGTAAGACTGCATAGCTTCCGAAGTGCCTATCTGCGAAGTAAGAGCAGCGTTATACCATTTCGGCTCAGGAAAGAAACAATACAGCCAGCACGGCCTTCTCCTCGTCCACACACTCACAAGCCCCGTTAGCCCACGCTCGAGCCCAATTGCACGGGCCCCAATTACAATAAATGGAGCTACAGCATCGACAAACATCTTCTCAGACGTAATTGAGCTTCCGCTGATGTGACATTTCATAGTGCTGATGTGCGATTTACAGGCTCTGCTATTATCAATGGAACGTCTCCTCAGCACTCGCACTATAACACCACAAATCCAACGTACGATAATTAGCGTCCATAATGGTGCAACGCA